ATAGATTCGAGGGAGAGGGAAGAATCGAAGAAGCAAGTTTGTATTTTTTTTTGCGACCTCGAAGGTAAAGAGATTTACTTTGTGTCTTTTTCTCAGATTGTGGCGAATTTGTGGATCTTAGGCTTGAATCTATTTCCTAGGATTATACTGTGTAGACAGATCTGAGAAAACTCTTTCTTTTGTCTTACTGCTTTGAGATTCAATCAATTTCGATATTTGGGTTTTTCCATGATTAATGCCTTTCATTTACACATATCTGAATTTCATGGTTTGATGTTTTTTGCTATAGAAGCTAGTTTTTGGATTTATACTGACTTACAATCTGAATGTGTAGATTCATGGGTAATTTTGTTTGCAGGATTTGTCTTTTAAGTTTGATACCAAGCTTCTTCTTGATTTTTTGTTTCATTTCTCTTATTGTTTAATTGTTGTGATGTTACAGATGTTTGACGACCAAGACCTCGGCTTCTTTGCCAATTTTCTGGGGATTTTCATCTTCATAATGGTGATTGCTTACCATTTCGTGGTGGCGGAACCAAAATTCGAATGAAAAAAATGAGGTTTCTATGATATGTGTTGGAATCAAACATGTCTTTAGCCTTTTATAGGTTGAGATATTATGCCAGTAATGTAGTTTGACAATGTGATTTGGTATGGATAAAGACTTCTTTTCATAGTGCTTTCACCAATCGGAGTTTTTATTATGCAAGTCTTGTGTTTAGAGCAGCTCGCATATTTGAGCGATTATCATATCGTATACCTGATGCCTCAAATGTTCATGTCTTCTCTCTAGCTTCGTTGCTTGTATCACATTTTCGACAAGTTCTTGATTATACATGGTATGAGTGAGTTTAGATTTGATGCTTGTTAGTAGAGCTATTTGTTGCATGTTAGCTTAAGTACATCCGAAGTTTTTTGCATGATGTTACAGTATGGTTTAGGCTGTTTGGATCACCTCACCTATGTTGTCTATTGCATCAAATCTTCTAATGCATAAACCCAACACACTACTGAAACAAAGAGCAGTTTTCATTCTTAAACCGCTCTGCATCTTCGGGGTGGTTCCTAAAAGATGTACCTGCATCAATGCCGGGGTTGAGTGAAGTTTCTCAAACACTTTTCGGTTGTGACAAATGTTGTGGTGCAGCTCCTTGTAAGTATAAGTTAGGATAGGTTTTTGAAGTCATTAGAAAACATAGAGACAAAGTTTAAGAAGGCATAAACCCAAATGCTTGTTGTAGTGTGGCATTACCAGATTGAAGGCTCTGTCTCGGCTTCTGTAATGAAACTCTCTATCGCTTTGAATTTTGTTTAGAACAAAGAAAGAACCAGAGGTTTTATGGATACAAATGGTTTAGTAATGGCAAACTCAATAAGGGGGTGATTGGGGTGGACTTTTAAAAACCGTGACTTTGTTTTAAATTTTTTAAAGCCTAAATTTTTCCACAGCTCCTAAAATTTCTCAGAGCCAATATA